TAGTGTTTACTCCCCACAAAAAATTCCTGCTTTTTTTCTATTTTGTAATAATTATTAAATTTAAAATATAATTCGTGAAGGCATTTTAAAATGAAAATTAAAATGGTGTATAAAAAATATGATTAACAAGAATCCGATTCTTGATTTTCAAGTCTTAGATTACTAGTTTTCATCTTCCAGATTCTTGATTGAAAGATAACCTATCTTTTGCAATCTTAATTGATAATACTCCTGTAAAGAAAAGTGTTTTAGGTTAATCGTTAAGTGTTACCAAATGCCAACTTGATTCAAAGGTTATACATCATTACATCCTAAGAAAAGCATTATATTCTGGGATGAGTTGTTCAAAGTGTCTTTCATTTCTTTCTTACAGCTAGTGGGAACCATTGTTTCTGGTGTGGTCAACCTAGCGGTGTGCTGGTGGATGCTGGGTAGCATTGAGAACATATGTGACATTGAGGCACTTCATCCAGACAGCCCATGGACGTGCCCGAAGTTCCGAGTGACATTCGATGCCTCCGTAATCTGGGGACTAATCGGACCTAAACGATTGTTTGGACCAGGTGGACTGTATAGGAACCTGGTTTGGCTATTCCTAATTGGAGCAGTTTTGCCCGTGCCTGTTTGGGTACTGAGCAAAATATACCCGGAAAAGAAATGGATACCCCTGATCAATATACCAGTCATTTCTTACGGATTTGCAGGGATGCCCCCGGCTACTCCAACCAACATTGCTAGCTGGATCGTGACTGGATTGTTTTTCAACTACTTTGTGTTCAAGTTCAGGAAGGGGTGGTGGAAGAAGTACAATTATGTCCTCTCCGCTGCTCTGGATGCAGGCACCGCTTTCATGGCCGTTCTTTTATTCTTCGCGTTGCAGAATGAGCACAAGAACTTGAAATGGTGGGGGGCGGAGTTGGATCACTGCCCTCTCGCGACTTGCCCCACAGCTCCTGTTGTGGTCAAAGGGTGCCCAGTTTTCAAGTAGGCAAGTCAGATAGCAGGAGAACCATGTAAATTGGTTCATGTAGTTTTCTTAGGAAAAAAGATGGCCCTTGTTTGGGTGCAGCAGTTTGTGAAGGAAGATGGTTATTACGTAATTGATAAAGTATGTGCAATTTTTTAGATGAGATCAGCAAAATCGGTTCTCAAATTCAGAGTAACGTTAACAGAAAAAACGGTATTTAACTTTACACTCCATCTATCTCCACGTGAATAACAAAAAAAGAGTAAAGTGTTTTTGAACAAAAAAAGAAAAGTTGACTAGTCATAAGTAACAGAGAGTAATTGCTTTTGTCAAGATTTAAAAATACAACCATTGACAACTAGATATTAAAGGTAACAAGCAAAAAATGTAAAAAATACATCTCTATAAGGGAAACAAAATTATTATTTACCCAACCAGTAATATATCAATCTTACTTTCAGTATTATACCCCGTCAATCATTCGGTCCTCCAGACCTCTACGTGGTGACTAGATATTTTTAGTATGAATGTATGCTGTTGTAAACGTTCTACCGTTCTGCCCACAATTGGGTGTAATAATGGATGGTAATCCTTACAAAATAATAACATGAATGAGTATGCGGCATGTCTATCTTATATTCCCTCATCTCATCATTTTTAGAATTGTAATATACACCTATTCTCATATGTGTGTTGCATAACCCATCTCGTTGTATATGTTGGGTGTGTCTTGGAAAAATGAAGAAATATTAATTAATAAAAATAATTAATTAATTAAATAGCTAAAGAAAAACAGAAATAAGATGGAACAGAGTTTAGCTAGAGCTCGTGCTACGCATGATGCCCTTAAAACGTATTCATCGCCTCCCACGGTGCTAGAAGCGTTGCAACGACCGTTTCCCAGGATACGGTGGCTAACGAAATAACGTTTGAGCACAGAAACGAGAGTTCCGGCGAACGGGAACAAAGTAGAACACTCAGGAATTTTTTCGAAGTAGCTGGAAGTGTTTTAGAGCTCAAAATACGTGCAGATAGTGTATGATTGCATGTGTTGTTGCAAAGCATCTGTCAGCTATTTATAAGAGGATTTGTTGTGTGTTAAATGGAGTGTTAATGTACCTGAACGTTGCACATCAATGATCAGTCCGTTGGGCATTGAATCGTCCATAAACTGTCCATTTAACGCTGCATTAAAAGACAAGAACGTTGGACATTTAATGGTTGTAACGGTTTTGGAGCATTTTTGGTGCGCGACCAGAATACCCCCATCAGAGTTGGAGCAACTCTGATGCGAAGCCAGCAGAGGACCCCCACCAGAGTTGGAGCACCTCTGGTACGAAGCCACCAGAGTTCGATCAGTTCTGTCCGAGCACCTCTAGTCCTGGGAAAAATAAAACGTTACGGGAAAAAACAAAAATTAAATCGTATATTTGAATGATAGATTTTCGGACGGCATTCGTGTCCGCAGGTCGCCCGCGCACACGAGTCGCGATTGTTCTTCTCCGTTTCGGGATTCGATCGGCACCCCCCCTGCGCGTAAGAGAGAGCCTTTACTTTTAGGAATCATAACTCCTTAAAAGAGGCTTCCCTTTATAAGCGAGTGAAAATCCCTTGAGTTTTCCGGTGTGGTATAAAACACACTAGAAACCCATCATTTTCTGAGTTTTTCTATTTCAACGAGTGAACTTCGAGAATCAATTTCTCATTCACCCGCTATCCGTTTTGAGTGTACCATATATCATATATCGAACTGTAGCCCTTAACAAGGACTATCCTTAACCACTTTGACCCGACCCAAATCGGATGTGGACCTCACTCAAATAATTTCCCCAAAATGACCATTTAATGCAATTTTAACACATTTTTTCAACAGTATACACTGCAAGATTAATCCATTTCTCATAAATTTAGCTTTAATCTATATCGAGACATGCTCCCAATTTATAAGCCAAAGCAAAAATCAAAATTAAATAGGAAAAACTTAAGTGCTAAAGTGTCACAATACAAATTTAGTGAACTTTCTTTTCATTTAAATACAATTTTACCAAGATTTTCAATTTTATATACATTTCAATTTCTTGCCAAGTGAAATTCGAAATGTCATATTTGCTACTTGAGTTATTATAACATATATATTTAAACTTGTTTCTTATAGTCTATTCGAAATTTTATAGATTATGTCAATATTATTCATTGCAAAACACATTCAATAACTTTTAGTATAATAAATAGTAATTTGATTATTGATTAAGTTCGTGTCGTATTGTTGATTTTGAACTTTGCACTATGAAAAGTTAATAAGCAAATGGACCAAATAATACGAGATTTATGTATCTTCAAAGAGAATAAAATTAACAAACAAATGCATCAAATAATACAATATTTTGCGGATTGTAAGCTAAGGAGAGGTATGTAAAAAACAATTTAAATCTGAACTACCAACATAGATATGTTTCCAAATTACTCCACTTCATTTTAATGATTATCTTTGAATTTGAGTGTGTTATTACAATTTTCTTTTATTTCTTTTATTAAATTATTTGGTCTATGTATTTAGTATTAGTTGTTCGTCTTGGGCATCAAATTTCCTAAAGACGGCCTGGATTAGCAAATGTAATCCTGTTTTGGAGTTGAATGGCTTATGTGATACTTTTTTAGTACGTGAGTTTAAACGATGTAGAAGGGTCTAACTTACCCTTTTCTCATTTATTTATAACTCCTTTCTTGCAAAAAAATAATAGTGGGCACATGCACTATCCATCTCGTAACGAGAATTACGAACATTAGGTCATTAGTGGATTACAAACACTGTTTTTACTTTGGATAACAAGCCAAGAAATTAACTAAAATCATATATTTCAAAATATGACTATCATTTTTTGGTTCTACTTCAATAAAAAGAGTAATTATTGTCATGTTTTGATAATATCAGACTTTAAACATGACAATATTTTCCAAGCTTGACACTAACAACATCTATTTAAAAAATAAAAACATGACGGTCCATTTTTGGAATTCTCAAACATTTTTACTCTTATTTCGAGAATGTTCCCCCAATACCTAATGAATAATGTAGGGCTAGAGACATTTAAATCTTCCATGAATTGGTACAATTCAGACCTTAAATTGCGGATTCAGACCTCTTTACACAACATTGAACATAGTGATACAAAAGAAAAAGATAACCACCATTAGCATGTGATATTGTAAATTTAGTGAGATCCAAAATGATTCGAAGACAAACGCAAGGGCCCGAATACGTTTTCTAAAATTGGTTGGCAAAAATAGGAAGTCAACAATATATTGTAATAATTTTGTATCCTAGAACAGTTGGCCACAAAAATATTATGATTACGTTAAATTCCTCGAGGCGGATAGATTTAGGGATGGACTTGGGCCGGGTCAATCGGCCCGTAACTGGCCCGACCCGGTACTGTTACGTCCCGGCCCGGCCTGGTACCCGGGTTTGTGCCTGGTTCGGGCCACCTGACCCGGTACTGTTAAGGGGAGGTTCACAGGTCGCCAAATTATGAACCGGCCCTGCCAGTTCGGGCTCGGTCCGGACCTCAACGGTCAAATTAAAAAAAAAACAAATGCCAGCTCTTCCTAGCCGTTGGGAACACTCCCAAATGGCTCTATAGCCGTTGGAGGGCTGGGAGGGGGTCCAAGGGGTGGGGGTGAGGTATAAAAAACTATAAATACTCCTATTTTCTAAACAATTTTCTACACATCTTCTCCAACTCTTTCTACTCTCTATTCTCTAATATTCTTAATCATCTCCATCTCCATCTTCTTCAATTCTCTCCACATATATTTATACAATTACTAGAAATTAGATCGCGCGTTGCACAAATGTAATATGCCCAACCCTAAAAGTTGTTGGATTTGTTTTTAAGTTTTTAGTATCGATTACAAATGAATTTTTTAGTATCTATTGTTATAAAATGTCCACATGCTCGATATTTTGGAGTTGTTTTGTACTGGGAATAAGTGGTAAAACATTGTTGTTGGAAAATGACAAATAGGGTAGTATATGTTTTAGACATGAGTGAATGAGTATAATGGTTTGAGTGTATGATATAAAATCTAAAAGGTTTATTATATGAAATAAATATTGTAGTGTTTCAACGAGTAAAATCCTTATATATGTAATAATAAGGATTTATTTTATTCGACATAATAAAAAGTCATATTTCCATGCAGAATCTTCATTCAATGCGGATGGATTTAAGTTTTTCATCTTTGTTTGCTGGAGTTGGTGGTGTGTGTATCACTTCTTGGAGAATTCCTGAAATTTTGGTGGGGGTGCTGAAGTTTCGCTTCAATAGAGTGGATGTGGGTGTAGTTGGCATGACACTATGTTCGGTGGTTGAGGTGTCTTCAATTTCTTCCATGCAAATGATAGTGTATGCTGTTTTTGTTTGGCCTTGGAATGTAGTTTGTCTATAACCTATTTTGATTAGAAAATAAACGCCCTCGATCACTTCATTTTTTCCCTTGACATTGATTTCTTCTTCCTGCATGAAAACAGTGTAAAGGTGTGAGTTTTGTATTTTAGTAATTCTTTTGAATGCAATGAATATACCTGAGCTTCTTTTTCAATGATTTCTTGTGTATCCATGAGAAGCAATTCCTCTCCCATTGCTCCAAAGAGTACAGTTTGGATCTCATTATCCCCATCATTTATTGTTATAGGAACTTTGCACCTATTGATATATTAAGTTTGTCATTAGTATATATTGTTTTGTTATTTTATATTAAGTTGTTACCTGGCCTTAGCAATGCTACTCTGGTTCCCACATTTGCGACAATGAAAGATTGCGTTCAAAACTTCTTCAATCGCTTTGCAACATGTTTTGCACACGATGTAGTAAAAGGACGGAAATTCTTTGATTTTCACATTTGCAACGATGCATGAAATGTTTTCGTGTATATTTAATTAATTGAACAAATTAAATAATATCATAGAAAAAAGTTATAATGTCGAACTAATAAAATATGTTTTTCTGCATGTAAGCTTGACTATTACGTTGGTTTAGTTAATTTTTAGCTAAATTCTTACTTGTGTCATTATTATAAACCAGGGACTAAAACTGTTTAAGTCTGAGAGGTGAGGTGATTTTTCTGCGGTCACAAAAATATCTTTTGTCCATGTATACCTTGCAACTTATACTATAATGAAATATGTTAACTTTCATAACATTTTCTAACACCATACCAGAACATCTTGTTCCCAAGTAACTGGAACTTTTGACTTGTAATAACTACATGTTAGACACTCTTAATCTCTCGGGATCTATTTTATTAATGGTAATGTCAGGTTATGAGTTCAAGTAATACTACTTTTACTTAGTTACTTTTGGACAAAGATGTTTTAGATTCATTTATTTGTGTTAATTGTACTCGATAGTACAAATACATGACATGATCAATTTGAAAATGTAATATAAAATGGATCATATGTAGTATCATAATATAGCACACCTGGCCAGAAACATGCAGCATATTAGTAAATGGAATTATGGGTTCTGGCTTCAAGTCAAATAATTTAGACGCACAATCATGGTAATCTTCTCGAAGTACTGTTGCCTTAATTTGAATGGTATTTGACAAAGCCCTAAAATTAGTATGTACAATAGTTATACACAAATATTTTCATGAAAAAGTTGTATTGAACAATATTAAGATGTGCTTTTGTTTTGTTTACCATTCTGCCAATTCAGTTGTTGTTTCAGATTTTGGATTCAGCTTCAGGTGTGAGTCAAACCGTGTTGCTAAAGCCACACCTGCAATAAACATAGATGCAACTACAAATGAATCAATTATTCAAGACGTGAGTCTAGTGCGTTTCGCAAAAGAACATACTCAGTTTTGAGGGGAAATTCAAAATTTGAATCAAACAATTTAAAATTTAAGGCAAGTTTGTAGCAGCACTAATGGCTATGAAAAGTTATTCAAGACACCTGTTAGAAGACACATCAATACATTTTCTTACACAATAGTGAGGGTTCAATTCAGAACGTGGACAAAAGATTAATGAAAAACATTAATTGAGTGTATAGTTTAAATTTAAAGTTCAATAACACCAATAACTTTAGGAAAAACACGTCTTGAGATCGTTTGACAAACATTAAGCATTTGCTAAGAAGGTTTTTACTTTACTAATATAAGCTTACATACGGGTAGTATATTTTGGAAGTTTGAAGCATACCTGTATACCCTCTTACAACGACGTTTCGCGGAAACAAAATTGGGAACTTTTCCTCACTCAACTCTTGTTTGATCTCTTCTCCTTGAAGCGTTGAGAACTCTTTCCACATTGTCAAGATTACAGGCTTGCAGTTGTGTTTATTGAAATCAAAATTGTAATATAGTTTGTATAATTCATGTAAAAGTAATATTAATAACTATAAAACAATTAGCATTATATTTTAAACAATTATAGATTGTTGATGATTTGAAATAAATACTTTTTTCTAGAAAAGGCCATACACCCATGTTGTGTGTAAGCACAATTGTCCAATTTTTTTAATGAAGTGGCAATGTCAAACCGAAAAAGTCAATTCTAACATCATAGATGATAAAAGATAGCAAAAAAATCTCATTTAAACTTCTAGCAAAAACTTGAAAGGATGGTGATGGATAGTGTACCCGGGGGTAGCTTATCCGAGGGGTATTATAGGAAATACCAAGAGAGAGGTCGGAACAAATAAGAGAGAAAGAGAGAGTACGTATTAAATGAGCTCACGATAGTTGGGATCAGATCGGATCCTTTACAATGGAGGAGAGGCTAGCTATTTATAGCTGCCATAAATGCGGTGTAAATAATGCAAGTACACGTGTCAAGCAACCAACGGTGGCAAGTCGATTCAGCCGGGGTGGCACCGACATAGCATGTGGCCGCAGTTAATGTGGTGGTTGATGGCATGTGGCCGCAGTTAATGCGGCGATTCAGACCATGTGCAGAGGAGATCCTGTCGAGGAGAGTGCCGAAGGCCGTACGTACCCAGGAGAACTTCAATGTACTGGAGGACGTACGTCGCCTGGAGCCTTCATGTGATGGAGGACGTACGTCCCCGAGGGCTTCCCTGTGATGGAGGATGAACGTCCTGTAAGGAATAAATATATTTAGATTTTGATGATGCTAGGTTAATTAGAATATTAAAGTACCCCTTTTTAGAAATCTTGTATTAGAATTTTCTTTGTAAGTATTAGCATAGTCGACTGACCAGAAACTCTCTTCTATTCTATTGACCAGAGTTGGTACCAGAGTTGGTTAACAGAGTTGCTACCAGAGCTACTCATTAGAGAAGCTATCAGTTTTGCTCATTAGAGAAGGTAGCACAAACAGTCATCAGAGTTGGCTATCAGACGTGTGAATACTTAGAATATTCTGAAGTAACTTCCAACGACCGTGAAACTAACGGCAAATACACTAACGGCTAGAAGACCTTCGACGGAACATGGTACTGTTCACGCATTAAATGCTCAATTAATGTGGTACGTACGAAGAGATATTTAAAGCTGATGATTGACCATGCGGATATCCTTTCGCCCCCAAAATAGCAAGTCGAAGAACCCAACTGGTCAAATCAACAGTACAAACATTTAATGAAGCTGTCTTCTACACTCCAACGGGAAGTTAGCTCCCAGTATATATGATACACTTCGAAGAACAACCAAATAACTTTCTGCTCTCTACAACATTCAAAAAGCTTTCTTGAGATAACAACTTCATCTTCCTCAAACAAGAAAAGCTTAAGTTGGAAAGATATTATTTGCATATCCTTTCTTCCAACAAGAGCGAAGTTCATCCAGTTCTTCAACACTTCTAAAGCCTCAACTAAACATCCTTTGTGACGAAGCTACGTTGAAGAAAACTGATTTTCAATCAAAACACTTCTTGCAAAATAAGGGACGTATCAAAGTAACTAGAGTAGTGAAGTGGGGATACTTCAAGAGACTCAGTAAAATGAGACCAGTCATCAGGAAGTCAGGAAGAGCATCCCGGGTGACAACTAGGCTTAAAGAAGACGTGGAGAGCTTCTTAACTGCTAGGGACTAAGGTGTTGTAATCGTTGACTTACAAGCTTAGTGGAACAGTGGACTAGAAGAACACGTTGTTCCTTGAACCACTATAAAATTCCCTGGTGTCATTTACTTTACGCATTAATTATTTACTCTTAAGATTCTGACTGTTTAACTCAAAGACTTGGACTCTGTGTTCAGCAAATCTTGTCCTGAGAGTTAACAGAAAGGCATTTGCCTTAGTGGTTTCCTGAGGCTACCCGAACAAAACTCTTATCCGCTGTCAGGTCCAGTTCTGCCATCAGAACTCGACCTTCTCTATCATTAGATTCAGACCATCTCTGACAAGTCACTTGTGACTTTGAGAAAAGTTTGAAAAATCTTGAACAGTCTATTCACCCCCCCCCCCCCCCACCCCTATAGACTTTTCCTAGCTTAAACGGGACCAACACGTCCTCTGGGTTCTCCTGATGCCGGAGGACGAACGTCACCTGGGACTTCGTGTGTTAGAGGACGAACATCCCTTGGGACTTCGTATGTTGGAGGATGAACGTCCCATGTGACTTCGTATGTTGGAGGACGAACGTCCGCTAGGACTTCGTATGTTGGAGGACGAACGTCCCCTGGGACTTCGTATGTTGGAGGATGAACGTCCCCTGGGACTTCGTATGTTGGAGGACGAACGTCCTCTGGGACTTCGTATGTTGGAGGACGAACGTCCTCTGGGACTTTGTATGTTGGAGGACGAACGTCCCTTGGGAGTTCGTATGTTGGAGGACGAACGTCCCCTGGGACTTCGTATGTTGGAGGACGAACGTCCCCTGGGACTTTGTATGTTTGGAGGACGAACGTCCCCTGGGACTTCGTGTGTTGGAGGATGAACGTCCCTTTGGTGCTCCCATGTGCTTGGAGACGAACGTCCCCTTGGTAGGAACGTCATGTGCTTGAGGATGAGCGTCCCTTTGGTAGGACCATCATGTGCTTGAGGAAAAACGTCCCCTTGGTAGGACCGTCATGCGCTTGAGGACGAACGTCCCCTGATTCCTTCCAAGTGACTGAGGACGTATATCCACAGGAGACGTATGTCTTCTGGGCCTTGTTCGTTGTCCGAAGCCTTGCTTGCTGGGTCTTGGGATGCTTGGGCCTGTTGGGCCTGGTTGTAGTAGTGGAAGTATGTGGACCGGGAGTTCCTGGGCCATATACTCCATCAGGAGTCCCCCACTCCTTTTGCCGAGAGCTTCTCGAGGAAAATAGGAGTAGATGTTTGTGAAGTTGCTGGTAGCTGCTTTGTTGCAGTTTGTGAAGTAGTGAAAGATTTGTGTTTGCGTGTTTTTCCGAGGGCAGTCCCCCAGTCCCCCACATTTTTAGACTAGAGACTCTTGTTGATGCCCTGAAAAAACTTTTAACCTTTTGTGATTTCCCGAAGGGGTTCCCCAGTCCCCCACTCTTTGAGGCACATGTAATGAGGTGAAAAGGAGTAGAGTAATGCATGTTTCAGCAGGGGGCCGAGGGCCGACACATTTTGATTCACCATGGGGAGATGCCTCGTTAAAAACCTCATTAGGAAAATACCTGGTGGGAAAAAATCCTAATGAGGGAAAATGAGTGCACCGGATGCCCCCAAAATAAACCAATAGGGGTGAACCCTTCAGCATGAGGTAAAGGATCGCGATAGGGCTGAGAAGCCGCTCGTAATCTGAGGGTGACGGCACTGAGAGGCCGTTCGTGATCTGAGGACGAAGGCGTTGGTGGAGCCGCTCGTCATGCAGGGGCGAGGGTCACCATCCAGGAGGGGAGTGGCGATCCCACTCGCAGGGTCAAGACATTCGACGTGGAGACCGAGGGGTCTGTCGTGATCTGAGGGACGACGATGCTGAGGGGCCATTCGTTGTGACGTAGAGGATCACATTGAGACCGAGGGGGTGTGCTGTGATCTGAGGACGAAACCGCTGATAGGCCATTTGTCGTGATGCAAAGAGTCACATTGAGACCAAGGGGTCTGCCATGGCCTGAGGGCGATGGTACTGAGGGGTCGTTCATCATGATGTAAAGGACCACGTTGAGACCGAGAGGTCTGCCGTGATTTGAGGACCAAGGCGTTGATAGGTTGTTCATCAAATGAAGGCATGACCGCCAGAATATGACTGTTGGGATATGACCGTTGGGGAAGGCGTCCACGTGGCGTGTGCTAGTTGGCTTGCTTCGAGCCGGCGTCACCGGTTGGCTAAGGCGATGATTCGTAATGATGGGCTTTTAACCAGAGGTCCAGGTTCCGGCCCCAACCGCGGTTGGGGAGGCTATAAATACCCTTGACCTGAACCCATTTGCTTTTTGCGATCATAATTGAAGTGAAGCTCTGCCAAAATTGTCTTAGAGAGAGAAAGCCTTATTCGATCAAACCAAGTCTCCCAAGGTCAGTTCATCACCTGTTCTTGCTATTTCTCGCATACTTTGATTTGCCTTCCCTAGATTTAGTGTTACTGGCCTTAGACTCTTTTGTTGTCTGGACCCCCCTGATACGTTACCGAAGGATGTCGTCTGCAAGTGACTCGCAAGACATTTCCGGAGAGCCCTCAGTCATGTCCAAGATATGGTCGGATGAGAAGTCAGTAACTGATGAGGCCCCATCCCAAGATGATTCTGTTGTGGCCATGGAGGTCCAGAGCAACCTCAGAACCGAGGCCGAGGCCGAAGAGTTTGAGCAGGTGGTAGGGGACGAGGAGATGGCCCTCACTATGCAAACCTTCGAGGAGGAGGAGGAGGAGAAGGAGCAACAACGAGTTACCATCGCCATCCCTTCGGCCACTGCTGGTGGGGCAGGTGCTTCACGCCCCCTCAACCCAGATCCCTTTTGGGCTGCGCCTTAGAAGAACAAGAAGGTGCAGGCCTCTCAGAAGAAGAAGCAATCTGCAACAGACGCTGGGAAACCCATGGGGATACCCGAGGGCCACTCTTTTCTGAACACTGCTGCCCTGGCACTGAAGTCGAAGGCTAACCAAACTAAGTATCATCTCACTCAGCTTTATGTCGGGCCCTCGGCGACGGTGATATAGCCGGGTCCCAATGATGTGCTCTCCCATGCTCCCGAGGGGTTTTTTGCAGTCCACATCCTCTTCGTTGCGTTGGGCATTCAGTTTCAGTTCCATCCCTTCGTCCTCGAGTACGTTAGGTACGTCTGTTTGGCCCCATGTCAGCTAACCCCGAACAACCACTCATATATTGCCGACTTCTTGCACCTCTGCCGGTCCCGAGGGGTAACCTCTAACCTTGACCTATTCTTCCAAAGTTTCAACCTCTGCCGGGGAGGTCATGCCAATAGCGAAGGCTTCGCCAATTTGTAGCAGATCCCCGAGTGAAGGCTTTTTATGACGTGCCCTCGTCTCATAAGGGCTGAAAGGACCACTTTTGTTATATTAAGATGGCAGTGAATCCATTCCCCGACGTGTTGCGGGATCACTTCAGGCGTCATCCGAAGGTGGAGAGCGCCGCTCTTGAGAAAGATGGGAAAAAGATACATGCTTTCCCGGAGGGATCCACTTAGCTGGCAACGATCAAGGATTCTACCCTCCCGGATGACCTGTTCAGCTTGGGCTTTCGGCGTTTATCGCCTATTTGGGGAGGACGATGAGAAGTACCCCTTATTGATAGGGTCCTTGAAAGCACCTGAGGTCGTTCCCAAAGGCTTTGAGCTTTCTGTACCTGTTTTCGTTGTTGGTGTATACCCCTCGTCCTAATATTTGTTTTCATATTGCAGGTAGCAATGAGGATGTTCAGTCTTTTGCGGCGTTGAAGAGGTAGAAGGCAAAGGCCCAGAGCAAGAAGGAGTCGTGCAAGCAAAAGTATGGGGATGCCTTCTTCCGGAAGGGGGACGAGGAGCCCTCTAAAGCTGCAGTGGCTGGAGATGAGGCCTGGGGCTCCCAGGCCGATGTGGCCAAGAAGAAGAATAAGGCCGGGAAGGGGCTCGAGCCTTCGTCCAAAAAGCAGAAGGTGGCCAATTCCGGCAAGCAGCCTGTCCCTGATGGGATGATTGTCGTGGACGACGTCGTCGACTCCAGCCCCATGCCACAGGAGTTCGTCAATGAGGCCTTCTTTGGTTGGGAGAAGCTGGAGGCCTTCGTGACGAAGGGCAGCTCTGTCCTGGATGCCACTCTCTGCCCTTCGGTGTTTATGAGCCAGGTGATGCCCTCAGGGGACAGGGCGATGCTGGCTCGGATGGATGACGACGCCCTCAATTCCAGGATCCTCCTGAATAGTGCCTCCGTAAGTCATTCCTCCTTTTTTATATTTGTTCGCCTTTGTTATTGTGTAATGTACGTAGTGCGTTTGACCCTTAGCGCCTTTGTTGTTGCAGACCTACACGGGTCTTTGTGAGCAGATTCGGAGGGTGGATCGGCTGAGGAAATACAAAGCCGCAACTGATGAGGCCTTGAGGAAATACGATGAGAAGATAGCCTCCCTTTGGAAGAGACTGACATATGCTGAGGAGAGCATGGCCCCAAGGCTGGAGGCTGTCGAGGCCAAAGGCAAGGCTGTAGCCGAGGAGGCCACCAGGATCGTTGTTGAGGCTACGGAGAGGGCCAAGCTCGAGGAGGTAGCAAAATCTGAGAGGGCTGTCGTCAACGCCTTTGTAGCCGAGGGCTGGAGTGCCGAGGATAGGAAAGAGTGGCTTGCCTCGGTGGTGGAGAAAAGCATTGATGTTTGGGTTGAAGGCCCCGGCAAAATGTGGTTGGCCGTGAATGGCGAATCATATTACCAAGGGGGTGAGTTCTTCACCCAGCGCCTGACATACCGGAAGCTGGCCCGGCACTTCAACACCCCTCCGGAGCAGTTTGATCCGGAGGCATACGGTCTCCCCCTTCGGCAGCCAGATGTGAGAGTCCCCCTCCCCTCGGGCGAAGAAAGGCCTGTGATTGAATATTCTGAGCTCATGAGGGAATGCGGCTTCGAAGATGAAGGTGAAGATGGTGCTACCTCTGAGGCCGCCGAGAAGGACGATGTTATTGATTGTACTTAGAAATTTTTCTGAACAATGCTATGTAATAATATTCTCAGCTTCCGGATTCGGCCAGTATGTAACAAACAATATATATTTTTTGTGAATGGATGCTTTTTCCGCCTTCGATTTTCTTTGTTTTCTTGTCTGCGTGTGATTTCTTTAATTGTGCTTTATGAATGAATTGTGAATTCTCCTCCAATTTGTCTGGACTCTGGAGGCATCATTTTTGGGTTTAGGAAAACTCAGACACATACGCAAAGCATGAGCCTCCGGCATTACCTGATGTGTCGGCCCCCTTAGTCAAGGACTTAGGAAAGTCTTCACTGAGTTTACCAACCAGTAGCCTCCTGTAGGAATGTGGAGTTAGCATGTTTCTAACTCACTTGTAGAATAGGAGCCCTTGATGTTGGTTGTAGTGTCAGGGGCCCTTAAGTCATGGACTTAGAAGAAATCTTCATTCAATGTACGAACTATTAGCCTCCAGTGAAACCTGATGCCCCAGGGCAAAGCAGAAACCCCCAGTATTTGTTGAGATGCCAGAGGATGTAGAGATGCGGACTTAGCAAAACTTTACCTTGTTTGTAGAATGGAACCCTTCAGTGTTGGTTGATGTGCTGAGGGCTAATAAGATGTGGTCTTAGCCAATTTTTTATTTTCTTGCAGAATGGGAGCCTTCGGTGTTGGCTGATGTGTCGAGGGCTTTAAAATGTGGACTTTGGCCAATTTTCGGCTACTGTATTATAGTAGATGCCCCCCGGCAGAGACATGGGCTTAGCCAAATTTCGGTTACTGTATTAGAGTAGATGCCCCCGGCTACTGTATGAACTGTTGGCTCCCCCCTCGGTGTTTGACCTTCCGGGATCCGAGGGGTGTGAGAGGCGTTTCCTTGGCCCGAGACATCGTCTGTTACCTGACTTCCCTTGGGGAACGGCGCGGAAAGCATCTCGGTTTTGAAAGTCGTTCCCTCATCCTGAGACATCATTTGTTCCCTGCTTCCCCTTGGGGGAAAGCACGAGAAGCATTTCGTTTGTGAAAGTTAAATCCTGGGCCCGGGACATCGTCCGTTCCCTGCCATTCCCTTGGGGTAATGGCTCGGAAAGCGTTTCAGGGAAGGGTTTTATTTGCGTGTTAGGCGCAAATGGCCAGAGGCACTTGGTGCTTCCAGAACCGATAGGTGGTGTCTTTGGTATTGGGGCATCCTCGAGGGGAACGGCTTTGTTCTTAGCATAATGTTGTGGGTGTTCATTAAAAACACTTGTTGTTACGTTCAATAATCCGCCTTTGGTACTTGGTAAGAATGTTTTTTAGGACAAAACACCGGCATCGGGCCTCGGTGATACTGGCGAGGGGTTCAGCCTCTACCCATTTCGTGAAGTAGTCAATGGCCATGATTATGTATCTGTTGTTTGACGTGCCCCTCGACAGTGGTCCTACCAGGTCAATGCCCTACCTGGAGAAGGGTATTGCTGTGCTTACGGGAGTGTACTTTACTGCGGGCCTTCCTGGAGCCTTCTAAAAGTGTTGACAAGTGTTGCACTTCCGGGCGAGGTCTGCGCAATCCCAGGCCATAGTGGGCCAGAAATATCCCTGGAGGATTAGCCTTTGAGACATCGAGAAGAGTCCCTGGTGGGATGAGCAGGTGCCACTGTGTACCTCCTCCATGGCGAATTGGGATTCTTCTTCGTGGAGGCATCGGAGTAAGGTGCCATTGTAGGACCGCTTGTAAAGTCTGCCTTTTTCGAGGACGTAGCTTGGGGCCCTCAGCTTAGCTAATTTCTTACGGCTCTCGTCCTCGGGCAATTGCCCTGTCGTGATGAAGGTGGCGATGTCCGAGATCCAGTCTTCCGGCCTCTGATGTATATCCATGATGGGGCTGGCATGTATGCTAGAGAGTCTGAGTTCCTCTATCCTCGCAATCTTGGAGAGGTGTTCGGGGGACTCATCCGAGAGCTTGGATAAGATGTCGGCCTTAGAATTTTGAGCCCTCGGTATTTGGGTGATGGATTGTGCCTCAAATACCTTGAGCAATTCTTTGGCGGGATCATAGTATTGCTTCATTCTCCCCTCCTTAGCTTCATATTCACTTGAGATCTGGCCGACCACTAGCTTGGAATCACACTTCACGTGGATCATCCTTGCCTTGAGGTTGGCCGCCAACCGAAGGCCACAGAGGAGGGCCTCATACTCCGCTTCATTGTTAGAAACTTTGAAGGAGAAGCGGATCGCGTAGTAGGCACGGAATCCTTTGGGTGTGATGAGGACCATACCCCCTCCGCATGCTTTGGTTGTTGAGGATCCGTCTGCGTAGAGGGTCCACCACTCGTCCCCTGGTGCTGAGGGCTCTTCCACCACTGCTGCTCTGGCCGTGCATTCCATCACGAAGTCGGCAAGGGATTGGCCATTTATGGCGGGCCTCGGACGGATGTTTATGTTATACTGGCTTAGGAAGATGGCCCATTTTACCGTTCTGGAAGAACTGGTAGGGCTCCGCATCAATGCGCCGAGGGGATGATGAGTGAGGACCTGCACCGGGTGGGTTTGGAAGTAATGGCCCAATTTTTTGACGTTCCAGACGATAGCTAGTACCGTCTTCTCCACGGGGGAGTACCTGAGTTCTGCTTCCTGACGGGTCTTGCTCACATGAAAGATGGTGTGTTGAATGTCGTCATCCTCCCGGATGAGGACTGAGATGATGGCGGCAGGGCTGACGCCTAGGTAGAGATATAATGTCTCCCCTACCTTGGGTTTGGAGAGCACCGGGGGTGTCTGTAGGTATTGCTTCAACTCGCCGAAGGCCACCTAGCACTCAGCAGTCCATTTGAAGCCGGCGGTCTTCCTCATTATTTGGAAGAAGGGAAGGGACTTCTCTGCTGATTTGGATAGGAAGCGGTTGAGGGATGCCAAGAGGCCCATCAGCCTCTGAACTTCCTTTACATTGCACGGGGGCTACATGTTGATGATAACCTGGATTTTCTCATGGTTGGCCTCAATACCCCTTCGGCTCATCATGTAGCCCAAGAACTTCCCTCCCTGCACGCCGAAGGTGCACTTCTTCGGGTTCAGTCGAAGGTTGAACTTCTGTAAGATGGCGAAGATTTCCCGAAGGTCATCAGCGTGGCTTGATGACTCCTTGCTTTTGACGATCATGTCGTCGACGTATGCCTCCATGGTGCATCCCAATACGGCCTGGAAAACCCTTGCCACCATTCTTGTGTAAGCGCCAGAGTTTTTGAGGCCGAAGGCCATGACTAGGTAGGAAAAGATACATTCGGGTGTCATGAAGGTTGTCTTTTCTGCGTCTTCTTCGTGCATGTAAATCTGGTGATATCTGCGGAATGCGTCGAGGAATGACATGATCTCACATCCCGCCATTTCATCCAATAATTGATCGATGTTAGGAAGAGGAAAAGGGTCCATAGGGTAGGCTTTGTTGAGGTCTATGTAGTCTACACACATCCGGAAGGTGAGTGGCTTCTGTGCGAGGACGACATTGGCCAACCACGAGGGGTATTTCACCTCCCGGATATGTTTGATGGCTAGGAGCATGGTGACCTCCTCCTTTACAAAGTCCCTCCTTTCAACTGAAAGGTAACTCTTCTTCTGCTTGATCAGTGTCACCGAAGGGTCCACTACCAGGCGGTGAGTGATCACCCTTCGGTGAATTCCCAGCATGTCCTCTAGCCCCAATGCAAAGATGATGGCGTAGGCACGGAGGGCCTCAGTGATGCTGGTCTTCAGTTCTTCAGGGAGCTTGGCTCCTATCTTCACGACTCTCTCCGGCTTGGCCGGATCGAGTGCGAAATCTTCTACCTCTTCTATCGGTTCGGCCCTTGGCCGTTCTTCTTCACCTTCTACTGTCCCGGTGATGGTATCCACATGGAGCTCGTTCTTGCTAACCTTCTTCGTTATTTGAAGATAGCAGGCTCGTGAAAGTTTTCGATCCCACCGTGAATAGCCAACGCCTCCGACGGCTGGGAACTTGAGGCAGAGGTGCCTCATGGAGATTACAGCTTCCAAATCCTCTAGGGCGAGGCGGCTGAGGATAATATTGTGGGCACAGTCGAGGTTGACGACAATGAACTCCACTTCAAGCTTGGCTCTATGGGAGCCGTCACCGAAGAGAACAAAGAGGGATATTACCCCTTCGGAATCAATGGTGTCCCATGTGAAGCCGAAGAGGGGGTCTGGATAGGCCGAAGGGATTCCCGTTTCAGATGCAGCTCCCGGAATATGCTGAGGTACATCACGTTGACGGAGCTGCCGGTGTCAACGTAGGTTTTGTGGATGATTGTGTTGTTGATCTCACTCTGAATCACGAGTGCAAATGGGGCAAAGACCCCGGGGGAGATCAACGTTTGTGAACACTATGGGTTCCTCCCTTGACCGTTTGGCAGGGGGCATGTGATTGACTTCCCCCACGTAAAGGGATTGTGCCCACTTCTTCCTTTGGCTCGCGGAGTCTCCTCCCGTGTTGCCGCCGGTGATCATATGGATGTGGCGCTTCCTCTTTTCAGGATGTTGGTACCCTTCTTCCTCGCAGAGGTTCCCAATTTCCCGCTTCTTACCATTTGGATCGCCGAGGGGAATGGTGTTCGGGTTGATCCAGACGTTTGCTTTCGTAGGGAGCCCTTGATGAGGGAGGGGGGGGGGGGGGGGCTGACGAATTGGGACAGATGTCCCCTCTCTATCAACTTCTCGATGGATGCCTTCAGCTGGTGGCAGACAATATGGTTCGTTGGGATTGATGGCGTATACCTCCTGAGTCGCCCTGGAATCTCGTTCCCCTAGCCCCCTTTCTTCAGTGTAGTCTAGGATAACGCTGATGGGATGCGTAAGGGGCGTCCGAGGGTGTTCCAAATACGTGGGATGTGTCCAGGCCATCGGGTTGTTCTTGTAACCTCCCCCGGGCTTGGCTTGGCCATGTCAGGGGCGATCACAAAAGGGAACTGGCAGGTTTGCCGGATGAGGTGGAGCCCCCGGATTCCGTTGGTTCTTTCCCTCTGGTTTGTGAGGCTGGTCAGGGTTTCGACGATATTTGTCTACCACTTCAGCTTCGGCGTACCTGTCTCCCCTTTGAAGGGCCCATATGTAGTCGCGGGGTGCTTCGGTGATGAGGCTCCTCGAGAAGTTCCCGGAACGGAGGACCGTCTGCAAGAGAGCCATCAGGGTCCTGTCGTCGGTGCCGTCGACTTTGTCTGTCTCCTGCCTCCAACGTTCCAGGGAATCACGGAGGTGTTAGTATATATGTCCTACCGAAAATCACTTTTTAGAGATATATGTACTTGATCACATTTAGTTTTATATATTTGATATATACGGTATTACACATTGATGATTAAGTATTTCGATTGTCAATATCTTATTCATAATTGTGTTCCCTTGGACTTATGTTGTCAATAAGTAAGTGAGAGCTTATATGATATACCATAAGATCCTAAAATAGCCCCAATCAATGATTATCAAGAATGGGATATTGATGATATGCGATAAGATTGGTATGTGGACTGCATCATACTTTTAGAAAGTATAGTTGATCTCACAATTATGAGTTCCTGTAATTCATGATGGTCACATAGATATTTTAGAGGATATTGGCATACCCACCGAGAAACCATTTGATAAGTTCTATTCATGTGTCTATGGGATTATCAGCGTATAGAGTAGTGTAATAGTCCTCCGACTTGAGGTCAATACGTACTACATGTGCGGAGTGATGTACTTTGACCATGACCAACGCTTGCACTCCAATCGGGGTAGATACGGCATGTGTTGGGTGCATCACGAAGCACATGGAGTAGTAGTTGAGCCAAGAAAGAATTCATTCCTCATAATATATTAAGAGAGAACATTCTACTTCTCATATCTAGATGGATCATAAAGTCATTGGCCAATGCAAAGATATATTCGTTTTGGATATCGAATATGATCATTATGGATCATCTAGAAAAATTGAGAGATAGAGACTAAGTTATTGGAATAGACACAATAATCAAGTTCTAGACTTAGTTGAATGTTCGTTGAATGAAAGGACCGTATCACTATGAGCTCTATATTACAGGGAGTTTGAATAGTACTCGCAAACGTTCTTATATATTAAGTTTGTTTGGTAAATCGTCTAGGGATTCTATGAAGACCTTAATTTGATTAGTGCTTAGTATATAAGGCCCTATGGGTCACACAACAAGTGATTATACCTTCCGAATGAATTGTTAGAACGAATTAAATATTATTAATTGGATTAAATAATATTTAATTCACAATACTGGAAATGAATTAAATATTAATTAGATTAAACATATTTAGTTCAGGAAGTTGAAGGAGAGTTCTATTTGATAGAATTAATTAAAGTAGAATAAGTTAGATTATTATACTTAATTAAATGTATCTATAATTAAATAAAGTTGGTAATTTCTTGAGTTTAATTTGGAATTAAAATATATTCAATAAATTACAAATAATAATATAATAATAATAAATAATAATATATGTTATGAGAATAAGGGTGGCGGCAGCCCCCTATTCTCCTTAACATACTTATTGTTCAATTATTATTATTATTTACTATTATAACTTTATTTAATTAATTAATGTGTATTGATCCCATGAGGACTAGAACTCATTAATGAGAAAGACTTTCATTGTGATTGGGAAACTGGTTTAGAACTATTATAAATACATCCTTCTCCTTCATAATTAGAGACGTTTTTCAGATTCAGTATTACCGGTTTATTTCCCTGCGAAGAGATTTCCTAGTCTTTCTCTAAGGGAGATCTAACCGTTCTTTCGAAAAGAAGAAATCACATGGATACCTAAGGTCAAGGATTATCACCGCTAGGCTGGAAGATCTGTAAGTTCTAACTCAGATCTGTTATTATTGTTATATTCGTTGTTTTGTTATAATCAGGAAAGATATGTTGGGGAAAATTTTAAACTTCTATTGTTGTACTTTCGAGGTACGTTACATCAATTTCCTAACAGTGGTATCAGAGCTAAACTGATTTTAATGACATTATACGAATTTTGACTTACAATTTTGTGGGTCAAAATATTTGATATTTCAGAATATTGTTGCACCGTATTTTAATTTTTGAAATTGAATATGAATTGGTGTTGAAACCAATTTGAAATCTACGTTGCTTTACCAATACTTAATTTTAGAAATTGGAATGCAGTATGAGAACCGACTTTTTGTTCTTCTTTTTGCTTCTGGTTTACTTGCGTTATATCGATAATTACCGTCTGGGTTGTTATGCACTTTACGAGTATCGCAACTAAAAGATCTTGTTCGTTCCTTGACGATCTTGCACTATGGCGGACGAGTGCCGATTGAAAACGACTCTGGCCGGTAGATTCTGCGCAGCAACGGAGACAACCTATGGCGGACGAACATGGCGACCAGTGAAGATGGCGCTGGAAACCAATGATGAACTCGCTAAGAACGCGATATGTTTTTTTTCCTTTTTATTCGTATGATTTGCTGTTTTTGGAAGCGGTGAAATTTGTGGTTTTTTGTGTTGTTGCCTTGTTTTAGAAATTTGTTCAAAGATTGTTTTCAGAAATTGGATTAAAACTGAGTACGCATTTGCAATTTCCTAGAATTCTAAAACATCTTTGCTTGGTAACCTCGGTTTACTCGAACTGAAACTCATAGTTGTGTTAGAATTTGGAGATTGTTTTTGTTATTATACTCCGTATAACAATAATTGATTTAAATTGACCCCTTTAGTTAGATTAAGTATCTTTGAGATTACGATGGTCAATTTTTAATTTAAATCATAATTGGTGATATTTTGTTTTAAGCATGCTTAATTAGTTATTCGAATATTATATCTATTTGTAAATAAGATTTATATTGCATGCTTTATTTTATCTGTCTGAGTTAGATCTCGTTAACATATTATTTGGTAATATGTTTTAGCATCTTGATTAAATGGAATAATTTAATACTCCGCTAAACGTTCCCCATAAATTAAAATTTAAGTCTTATCTGGGATAACGACATCACCCATCATAATTAAATTAGTAGATATATTTTTTCGTTGACGAATGTTTCACCCAAGTGTTTATTCCATTCGACAAAATATAGAACTAATTTATAGATACATATGTTTGTAATCGTGTGATGGTTTGGACTTACTTAAATTAGCTCGAGTCACCCAAGCGTCAGTGTTAATTTAGGGATGTCGATCAATTGAAAATTGATCAACCAAGAGTTGTCTGGACACAATTGGTCTAGGGACCTACCCATTATATTATTGCAGTAATCAGCCCAAGTTGGGACTGTAATAGTATGAATGTGGATCTTGGCCACTATAATTGTAAAAACAATCTATGTTCTTTTTATTGAGGTCAAAGAACATGAAAAATAGTGGGAGCTAAATAATTAAAAGTCCATATTATTTAGTTAACTAAATGTGATCATAGGAATTAGTATATGAATTTTAATTCCCGTTCTATTTGAACATCTTTAGGCTTTTAGGAATGTCGAATTTATCATTGAGAAGTATCATGGATACATGCAATCTGACTGGACCAAACTTTCTGGATTGGGAAAGAAATGTGCGTTTAGTTCTTAGGCAAGAAAATATTGAGTATGTGTTAGACACACCGATACCCAAGATTCCTGATGCCAACTCTCCTGAGTTTGCCATGTTTGACCTGACTGCTCGAGAGAAACACGTCACTGATGCTAAAACTGTGCAATGTGTTATGTTGGCTGCAATGTCTATGGAGTTGCAAAGGCAGCATGATAGGATGAGCGCCTTCGAGATGCTTGAACACTTGAAAAGTTTGTTTGATTCAGAAAGTCAGACTCTAGAGTATGAACTTCTGACAGACATTTTCAGGTGTAGGCTTCAAGAGGGTGGCAACGTGTCTGAGCACGTCCTCAAAATGATTGGCTTAATTGAAAGAGTTGTTACCACCAGAATTAAGTTTGAGGATCATGTCTCAGCTGCTATCATCCTATATTCGCTTCCAAGTTCATTTAGTAACTTCATTGTGAATTATAATTTGAAAAAAACGAAAGCGACCATGCCTGAACTCCATACCATGTTCTTATGGTAAGCTCTAATGCCAAGTCTCATTCTAAGAACAAGAATAAGCAAAAGAAGAAAGGTAAGGTTGGACCTACTCCTACAGCTCTAAAGCCTAAAGGTGGAGGTCATATGAAGCCAAAGGTTGCAAAGGATGTTTGCCTCTACTGCAAAGAGAAGGGGCATTGGAAGAGAGATTATGAGTTGTATAAGGCTAATCTAGCCAAAGCACCGGGTGCTTCAAGTTCAGGTATTTTTATCATTAAATAAATATGTCTATAACTAACTCTCATTGTTAAAGTATTAGATACAACTTATGGCTTACACATTTGTAAAATGTGCAGAAGCCTAAGAAGCAGTGTAGCAGTTGGACTGGGTAAAATTGACCTACACATGAAGGCTGGAGCAAAAGTTGTTGCTGAACGTGATAGGATCTTATAGTTTAGATTTGCCCAGTGGTTTTAGATTAGAATTAAATAATTGTTATTTTATTCCTTCTATTACCAAGAAGATTATTTCTATTCATATGTTAGAAATTAAAAGATTTATGTTTCCATTCTGCTAATAATAATTGTTATTTTCGTAAAATGGTGTTGTTGTGGAAATGCTTTTCTTATGAATGGTTAATTATCAATCAACATATTAGATATTAAATGAAAAAATAAAAGGATCTCGATTAAGTAATCAGAAAATTACTACTTATCTATGACATTGCAAACTTGGTCAAATTAATGAAACAAGAATAGCAACGTTAAATAAATTAGATTATTTAACACCATTTGCTTTTGAGTCATATGGAAATTGTGAATCTTGTCTTTCAAGTAACTTGACTAATAAACCTTTTCTATGAAAAGGATAGCAAGCCAAAGAGTACTTAAGTAAAATTTCTGTTTATTTTAAAGGTCAAAGAATTCGGTCATAATGAACTCCTCCAGAACACCTTAGAAGTGTGGCGTTTCTGCAAGGAGAAATAGGGCTTTGTTAGACATGGCTAGATCTATGATGAATTCATTTTCTCTTCCAAACATTCTTTTGAGGGTACACGCTATAAATATCAATATGCATTCTGAATAGTTTGATTAGTGCAAAACGTACAATATGAGTTATAGTATAATAAAAGACATTTTCTTCACATATTAAATATGGGTTGCCCTACATATGTAAAGAAATGTGCACTAATCAAATTGAAAGATGAAGTAACATAGAGAATGAAGATTTGTTAGATGGTCTGACGAAGGATTCAGTGGGAGAATTAAGTTGAAGAATGTCTCTAGGAGGATATCCTTCAGCTATTGGGAGTAATATAGGAAGCGCTTCACACCAGCAAGTGATTCTTATGAAGAAAATAATGGCATGGTTGTAATTCCTTCTACACCTAACTCTCCCTCTCTGAGTATAGCTCCAGAAAACTCTCTGAGAATTGGATAGTCCAGTGAAAGAGAACCTCTTCACGATCAGAATGAACAGTCTGAACAAAACGCAAAACATTCAACTCTGTGGGTCTACAAGGATTTGTCATGAACTAACTAGGTTTGACTTCCTCATGTAGGATCATGATGATGTAGAGATTCCTGATAAGGATGAACCTAAGACTTACACTAAAGCAATATTAGATGTTGATTTAAAGAGGTGGAGAGATGTCATGAAATCTAAAATGGACTTGATGTATATCAATCAAGTATGGAACTTGGTTGACTTGCCTGTTGGGTTAGACCCATTGGATGCAAAGGATTTTCAAGAAGAAAATTGGTGCTGAAGGTAAGGTGCAAACATAGAAAGCTAGGCTAGTGGCTAAAGGTTATAGTCAAGGAAAGGAATTGACTATAGTGATACCTATTCGCCAGTTGCAAAACTCAAGTCTATTCGGATTTTGCTTGTGATAGCTGCATACTATAATTATGAGATTTGACAAATGGATGTCAAAACCCATTTCCTTAATGGAAACCTCAAGGAGGAGGTGTACATGGTACAACCATAAGGTTTTTGCATCCAAGTCAAATTCTAAATCGCTATGTTAATTAGAGAAATCTATATATGGGCTAACACAAGTCTCTAGGAATTGAAATATTAATTTTGATGAAATAGTCAAATCATTTGACATCATCAAATGAAATGAGGGTGCTTGCATGTTTAGAGTGCGCAACAAGGATAGCGTGGTCTTTATAATCATATATGTTGATCATAGAGAATGATATCCCTTCATTGAAGTCAGTGAAAGAATGGTCACCCAAAATCTTCATGAATATCTTTTGTTTATGGAAAACCGAAAGAACTAGTAGAATTTAATTATTCTAGCACTAGTTTCATGTATGATAAGAAAGACTACGAGTCACAGACAGTATATGTTTTTAGTCTCAATGTAATAGTAATGCTGCAAGAGTTGCAAGTAAGAAACTATTGTAAATTAAACAACTAGAGCCTAGTAAATTGTTGCATTTGATGCAACATAGGTAAGCGTTTAGATACGTTAGTTCCTTAAGGAAATAGGGGTAGTTCCTAGCGACAGTTATCCAATAATTGTTATTGTGACTGTACCGGTGCATTTGCACAAGCTAAGGAACCAAGATGCAAAGTAAGGAACTAGAAAATACCAGTATGCTATCATGTTTTGATAACAAATAGCAAGATGAGAAGTTACAATAGAATGTCTTCCCGTAGAGGACAATTTGGCTGGCACATTCACCGAACCTTTGAGATGCGAGAAACATTGTAGGCTTTTGAGAGTCTAGGTGTTAGACGCATTGGTGATTGGCACTAGGCCAAGTGGGAGATTGTTAGTATATATGTCCTAGCGACAATCACTTTTTAGAGATATATGTACTTGATCACATTTAGTTTTATATATTTTATATATACGGTATTACACATGATGATTAAGTATTTCGATTGTCAATATCTTATTCATAATTGTGTTCCCTTGGACTTATGTTGTCAATAAGTAAGTGGGAGCTTATATGATATACCATAAGGTCCTAAAATAGCCCCAATCAATGATCATCAAGAATGGGATATTGATGATATGCTATAAGATTGGCCTTCACAATATAATCATACTTTTAGAAAGTATAGTTGATCTCACAACTATGAGTTCCTGTAATTCATGATGGTCACATAGATATTTTAGAGGATATTGGCATATCCACCGAGAAACCATTTGATAAGTTCTATTCATGTGTCTATGGGATTATCGGCGTATAGAGTAGTGTAATAGTCCTCCGACTTGAGGTCAATACGTACTACATGTGCGGAGTGATGTACTTTGATCATGACCAACGCTTGCACTCCAATCGGGGTAGATACGGCATGTGTTGGGTGCATCACGAAGCACATGGAGTAGTAGTTGAGACAAGAAAGAATTCATTCCTCATAATAGATTAAGAGAGAACATTCTACTTCTCATATCTAGATGGATCATAATGTCATTGGTTAATGCAAAAATATATTCGTTTTGGATATCAAATATGATCATTATGGATCATCTAGAAAGATTGAGAGATAGAGACTAAGTTATTGGAATAGACACAATAATCAAGTTCTAGACTTAGTTGAATGTTCGTTGAATGAAAGGACCGTATCACTATGAGCTCTATATTACAGGGAGTTTGAATAGTCCTCGCAAACGTCCTTATATATTAAGTTTGTTTGGTAAATCGTCTAGGGATTCTACTGAGACCTTAATTTGATTACTGCTTAATATATAAGGCTCTATGGGTCACACAACAAGTGATTATACCTTCCGAATGAATTGTTAGAACGAATTAAATATTATTAATTGGATTAAATAATATTTAATTCGCAATACTGGAAATGACTTAAATATTAATCAGATTAAACATATTTAGTTCAGGAAGTTGAAGGAGAGTTCTATTTGATAGAATTAATTAAAGTAGAATAAGTTAGATTATTATACTTAATTAAATGTATTTATAATTAAATAAAGTTGGTAATCTCTTGAGTTTAATTTGGAATTAAAATATAATCAAGAAATTACAAATAATATAATAATAATAATAATAATAATAATATATGTTATGAGAATAAGGGTGGCGGCAGCCCCCTATTCTCCTTAACATACGTATTGTTCAATTATTATTATTATTTACTATTATAACTGTATTTAATTAATTAATGTGTATTGATTCCATGAGGACTAGAACTCATTAATGAAAAAGACTTTCATTGTGATTGGGAATCCGGTTTAGAACTAATATAAATACATCCTCCTCCTTCATAATTAGAGACGTTTTTTCAGATTCAGTATTACCGGTTTATTTCCCTGCGAAGAGATTTCCAAGCCTCTCTCTAAGGGAGATCTAACCGTTCTTTCGGAAAGGAGAAATCACATGGATATCTAAGGTCTAGGATTATCACCGCTAGGCTGGAAGATCTGTAAGTTCTAACTCAGATCTGTTATTATTGTTATATTCGTTGTTTTGTCATAATCAAGAAAGATCTGTTTGGGAAAATTTTAAACTTCTGTTGTTGTACTTTCGAGGTACGTTACATCAATTTCCTAACAGGCGGGTCTCCTCCTTCTGTTACCTTATTGTCTGTAGGTGGGAAAAATGCTTCTTTGACCGGTGCCTTCCCGCGAATTGCGTCAGGAAACGCTGCGTGAGTTCTTGCCAAGAGTCAATACTCCCTTCAGCGAGTCGGTTGAACCATTCGTATGTTGGTCCTTCCAAGGTGGAGAGGAACCAACGACACAAATATTGATCTGAGGCCCCCATCATCATCATGCTATTCTGGTACCTGCTATAGTGCTCCTGGGGATCAGTCTTCCCTTCGTACGGCTTGATGGTCTGCCCCCGATATTTTCCTGGGATTTGAGCCGCCAATACCCTTGGGGTAAAGGGTGTCCTCGTGCGAAGTTGGATGACGGGTTCCCCGGAGCCCTCGGCAAGCTTCTTCTGCACTTCGACCAACTTGGCCAACATGGCGGTGTATTTGGGGTCCGCCTGCGAGGCGGAATCCGTTGTTTGGGCCTGATGAGCCTCCATCTCGTCGAGCCAGTGCTGAAGGGCCTCAATAATATCATCCCGAGGATCCTTTGGTATTGCTCCCGCCGTGAGCGACTGAACGCGAGCTGAGTGAGCCTGGTTAATCCGGTGTTTGGTGTCGTCAGCATGTAGTAGTCTCTTGCCTTTGTCCCGAGGGGGATGTCTTTCATATTCCCTCGAGACGGATCCTCCGCTCTCTTGAGGCCTTTGGAACACCTTACCACCGAGGCGGTCTTGGACCCCTCGGTAGTCACGTGCTCCTCCGAGCCTGTCGAGGGCAGAGGTTCGAGGCTTATCTTTGTTTGCACCGCGTTGGTCCCGGGATTGCACTTCCTGGGACGCGGTGTCCTGGGCAACGACCCCCTCGTTGTTTCCAGTTCTTGGAACCGGGCATACGAAGGGGGGCGGACGCGGTGGAACAGGAACGACGTTATCCCCGGTTTGCGCCTGGGGTGGCACAAGTGCTCTGAAAGCGCCTGGATTATGAGTCAAAGTGTGGGTGAAGGCTGAGAAAGCCGATTGAACGTCGATAGTTAGGACCAGAGGGCTAACTTGGTTTTCACTCTGATCCTTCCTACGGGTTTCGAGGCCGACACGAACGTCGGGAGCATTCTTCTGGAGCTAAAGGCGCAGGTCAGCAGTGACCTGCTCCATTTCAGCGAGGGCCCCGCCTTCGGGAGCCTTGTTGGAGGCTTCGGTGGTATTAACCTCACCGAGGCCTAGGTTCTTGTCTTCCAGGGTCTTGGATTGACCGCGAGATCTACCCATTATGATGAGTGTTTTTCTGAAGGGGAGGGTTTCTTACTTGATTGTTCGACCTCTCAACGAGAGCACCAAATGATGGATAGTGTACTCGGGGGTAGCTTATCCAAGGGGTATTATAGGAAATACCAAGACACAGGTCAGAACAAGTAAGAGAGAGAGAGAGAGAGAGAGAGAGAGAAAGCATGTATTAAATGAGCTCAGGAATGTTGGGATCAGATCAGATCCTTTACAATGGAGGAGAGGCTAGCTATTTATAGCTGCCATAAATGCGGTATAAATAATGCAAGTACACGTGTCAAGCAACCAACGGTGGCAAGTCAATTCAGCCGGGGTGGCACCGGCATTGCATGTGGCCGCAGTTAATGTGGTGGTTGATAGCATGTGGCCGCAGTTAATGCGGCGATTCAGACCATGTGGAGAGGAGATCCTGTCGAGGAGAGTGCCGAAAGCCGTACGTACCCAGGAGGACTTCAATGTACGGGAAGCCTTCATGTGATGGAGGACGTACGTCCCCAAGGGTTTCCCTGTGATGGAGGACGAACGTCCTCTGGGTGCTCATGATGGCGGAGGACGGACGTCGCCTAGGACTTCGTGTGTTGGAGGACGAACGTCCCCTGGGACTTTGTATGTTGGAGGACGAACGTCCCCTGGGACTTCGTATGTTGGAGGATGAACGTCCCCTGGGACTTCGTATGTGTGAGGACAAACGTCCCCTGGGACTTCGTATGTTGGAGGATGAACGTCCCCTGGGACTTTGTATGTTGGAGAACGAACGTCCCCTGGGACTTCGTGTGTTGGAGGATGAACGTCCCCTGGGACTTCGTATGTAGGAGGTCGAACGTCCCCTGGGACTTCGTATGTTGGAGGACGAACTTCCCCTGGGGCTTCGAATGTTTGGAGGACGAACGTCCCTTGGGACTTCGTATGTTGGAGGATGAACGTCCCCTGGGACTTCGTATGTTGGAGGACGAACCTCCCCTGGGACTTCGTATGTTGGAGGACGAATGTCCCCTGGGACTTCGTATGTTTGGAGGATGAACGTCCCATGGGACTTCGTGTGTTGGAGGACGAACGACCCCTTGGTGCTCCCATGTGCTTGGAGACGAACGTCCCCTTGGTAGGAACATCATGTGCTTGAGGACGAGCATCCCCTTGGTAGGACCGTCATGTGCTTGAGGACGAATGTCCCCTTGGTAGGACCGTCATGCGCTTGAGGACGAACGTCCCCTGATACCTTCCAAGTGATTGAGGATGTACGTTCCCAGGAGACATACGTCTCCTGGACCTTGTTCGCTGTCCGTAGCCTTGCTTGCTTCGTCTTGGGCCGCTTGGGTCTGTTAGGCCTGGTTGTAGTAGTGGAAGATGTGGGCCGGGGGTTCCTGGGCCATATACTCCATCAGATGGTAATGTGAAATAAATATATTCTACTCTAGTATTTAATGTGTGATTATGTGTAATAGTTTACTTCTCATCTATCAACAGAACATCTGCAGCTCTTGTATCCGCTCTTCTAGTATCTATGTGTGTCCTTGGCAATTTGTGAATTGCAATTCCAAGAATAGATGTTATGAAATTATTATTTTCATGAAGTTAGTAAATATAGTCAGTATGTGTGTGACATCCATGTGTTCGGAGATGGTGTACTTACATACTCTTTATTCAGTATTCACAAACTTGTGCATGTCAGAGAAAGGGATTAAGGCAGTCTGCTCTTCTCTTTTGATGGTCAATTCTTCATCACATGAAACTTTTTGAATTTGAGTTGTTTCCTTCAAAGTCCAAAGGAACTTATACCAGTTATCCGGTAAAATCAAGTTTGACTTTATTGCTCTCACCTTCTCATTTGATATTGTGTATGTGGAGAAGAGCTCGAGCTTGGCATCAATTGTTTCAATGGCTTGTTTAGAATCCATTCCTTGAACTTTATAGTCCTGCAAGTAGCATAGTAAATGCATTATTTATTTTTTACTTTTGTTCAAATTAATCATGTCAAGGAAGGCACTCGTACAACTTCATCCTCCAAAACAATATCTTTGTATGTGTTTCCAGGAGTGCTCCGTGATTCTCCGTGATTCTCGAGTTTGATATTTAGCAATGACTTGGACTTTGCAACTCCATCGCCTTGTTCTTTCACCAATGTTTGCAATCAAACATCTTTGCAACATCCTTCAAAGCATGCATAGAATACAATATTATGAATCATAGTTTAAACAAAGTAAACCAAAGTACTTGATTATAAGTAGTGGTAGTGTTGAAAACTAAAGTGAACTTACAATGTTTGATGATGATTCCCTGTATGAATACAATCTAAGATTTTAGGATGGACTATATTGTTGGTGTGTGTTGTTAGCTGATTTTGACCAGTTTCAGAATGTATAACTAATTTCACACACTCTGCTCTTCTAGCTCAGGACATTGAAACATATAATTGACCATGTGAGAACACCGGTTCCTTCAAATAGATTCCAACCACATCTAATGTTTGACCTTGAGATTTGTTGATAGTCATGGCAAAACAGAGTTTAAGTGGGAATTGGTGTCGCTTGAATGGTATTGGACAATTATCATCCACCGAGAGACGCAATGGTATTTTTGGAATGAAAACGTGTTTGCCTTTGTTTTCTCCAGATGCAATGATGCATCCAATAACATGATCCCCCAACATGTCACATATGAGTCTTGTTCCATTACATAGACCTTCACATGGGTTTAGGTTTCGTAACAGAATTAGGGGCATATTTTCTTTAAGACCAATCTATGTAGTGACATTCATGCGGAGGAAATAGTATGGAGGTAGTCTTCACAATAAAGAAACTTACTGCTTTCTAAAGGCTCATCAAACCCTAAATAAAATCTTTCTTCACCAGGGAACCTATCAATCAATATAGAATTTTATTCATCTACAAAATCATTCTTTGTTGTAAGTATACCTCTCTGCATCAAAGCATATGGATCTGTATGAAATGTAGCTAATGATGGGTATACATATGCAATGAGATGGTCTAATGGTGTTGAATATTTAGTTTTGTTGATGACTAAACCTCTCACAGGAACAAGGAATGGAACTATCCTATGGTCCAAACAGACATTTATGATTGTACGACTAACCATGCAGGCGGACCAAAAGATAGAAATTCCATCTGTCCAAAATATGGAAACTATGTTTAGGTCTATGAATATTATTAGCATGAATAATGATGACTGTGTGCATGACAAATCTATGCCCTAATATTCTTGATAATATGTGACTTAATTGAAATCTCTTTCCATGCATGTTCAATCACTCATGTTAATAAGTTGACCAATATGGCTTGATTCCTTATGGAAAGGATCATTGCTTTTACTATACAAGAATCCTGCAACCTTTAGCTTATTTTGAATATGTTAAATATTAAATAAATATCTTTTTGAAAGGATCTTGGAATAAGGAAAGGATTCATTGCATGTTTAAAAGGTGAAATCTCTTAATATATGCTATAATAAACAAGTTTAGTGATTGTCGCCTATGCATAATACTCTTCCTTGCTTATACGGATATTTAATATTGAGAGCATATCTTTGCACAAATAATCTAAGCCATGAAAGGAAAGTAATTCAAAATATCAAGGCAAGACCCAAAATTAGAAGGACAACTATTCAAGGAAGGATGCTTAACGGCATGCCTCAAGACCACTATATATAGGCCTGAAGATCAAGAGAAAGAGGTGTGCTTGTGAGAGTAATCAAAAGGAGAAAGACTTACAAAGAGTTATCAAGTTCAAGGCACCTGAACCTATGCACGAAGTTCTAGATAGAGTTTCTTTTTCCTTCTTTATCTTGTAACTTGGTTTTCGAGGAAAAGCTAAGAGTAGCTTCCTCGGTTTGGGATCGTGTGTGTGAGAGCTTTGTAGTAAAGCTGAGAGGCTCTCTACCCGCAAGGTAGAGATGCATAACTCTTCCTAGAGAGGATAGAGTTGGGGTGGCTCAAGGGTAGATTAGGAGAATTTACCTTGTAACCACAAATTGGCTATTTAGTGAAGTTGTTCTAATTCCTCCAAGGGAGGTCGAGGTTTTTTAATCCCTATGAGTCAAGGGATTTTTCCTCGTTAAATTATTGTGTACTTACTATTTCGCATTTCCCTACACCCACACTAGAACTGTGAAAGAAACTGCCACAATTCCACAGAAACACAATTCACCCCCCCCCCCCCCCCCCCTCTTTTGTTACTAACCGTTTCATCAAATGGTGTTCTAGGAGGTGTGCATGGCAGCAAGAAAGAATGAGGAATTTTAATTTTTTCCCATCAAGCGTTGGTTCTGAGACAATTTGAGTTGATTCATATGAGGCCAAATAATAGATGACCTCACAAGGCTGGCGTCTATAAAATCTTCTTTGGTACCATATCGTATGATAGATAGTATTTGCCTAAAATCCCCCCAAAAACGATCACTTTACCTCCAAATAGTTGTTTAGAATTCATGAGGTCTTGTAGAGTTTTATGCAATGTTTCCACACATGTGCAAGTGGCCATTGATGCCTCATCCCATAGGATTAATCTGCATTCTTTCAAAAGTATTCCCTCTGCACTTTGCTTACTAATGTTGCAGACAAGTTTATTCTCTCCGTCTATTGGTATTTTAAACCTTGAGTGTGTTGTCCGTCCACCAGGTAGAATAGAGGCCGCAATCCCGGAGCTAGCTGTAGCAAGTGTAATACCGCCACCAGAACACACTTTAGCTAGTAAGCATCGATAGAGAAATGTTTTTCCGCTACCACTGAGACCGTCTACAAAGAACACTCTTCTAGTGATAGTGTTTAAAACATCCATTATGAGTGAGTGTGCTATTTTTTATCTGTGTTTAGTTTTTCAACACACAAAAGGTCATATTCATTAACTTGTATCCTCCTTTCAGCCTCAACTTCTCTCATTTTTTTGTACGACTCATTTTCATACAAGAAAGTGTAGTCACTTACCAGATCAAAGCTAGTTACTCCTTCCGTTTTGTTGTAATGATTGGTGCAACGTGGTAAGAACTTTCTGGTCAACTTCTTCGGTTGTGTACAGCCCAGTTCTTATGAAATCCTCAGACAAGAAATATTTGTATTTAGTCCAAATAAATCTTGGGTTAGAAAGATCACAAAACAATAACATTGTGGCAAATAGATTTCTCAAACTACAAGGCATTTGGTACAAAATAGCCTCTTGTATGCAGCACTCTATTGAGTCATTCGTCTTTAACAACCCCAGTTTTTCAGCCGCCTCCCTGAAGGTTGATGCTACATAATGGTTGACGGTTCTCAAATGTTGGTATGATCTTGGAGCTCGCACATTCATAAGTAGCAACCTCAGATAGTAGCGTTCTCCTTCTGTTGGATTTACCGAGACCATTCTACCAATCACTTTTTGTTGTTTTCTTAAATGCCATGTTCTACTTTTGGTGGACCAAACAAAGTGTTCTGGAAACTCAATATACAACAACTTTAGTTTTTTAGCATCTGCATCTAATGAGTTCATCTTAAAAAACTCAGTTCACATTGTTTGACAACGGTAACCAGAACGTTGGTCATCACCTACAATTGTATCCAACTTGTCTTTACTACAAAATTGGATGTATTGGAAATTGTGTAAATGGACATGTAAATGAATAACAGTTGGCTTTAATTCAGCTAGGTTGAAAGAGTATATCCTCCATGCTGCTTCAGGTAGAGATATCCATCTAGCTGTTTGATATTCATTGATTTCATCATATTCATCAATGATGTTTGAATCATACAGGTGGAATCTTACCCGGTCATGCCCTTTGTATATGTACCTAATAATGTATTTTACACATCTTATACCATCACAAATTCCAACATTTATATGACAATCAAACTTTTTCAACAAAAATGGGTTATAAGGTACAACCCATCGGTTATCTAAAGTATGCTTTCTGACCACAACTTTGTTATTGTCACACCTCCTACGGTAGATGGGGTACCCATCCTAAGGAAAAACAGTAACGTTGCTGAACGGCCAAGAGTAACGATCCATACATGAAGGAGCTTTGTCATTTTCCTTTTACCGCATGCATACGTTTTCAGGATTCAAAAGGCCACAAGGCCCATGCATCATATGTTTAACAACTAACTCAAACAATTTTGGATTAGTTTGTTGGTTTGGAATTTCAGCACATACAAAGCGGTCGCATTGTGCAACTGTGTTTATCTTGTGGTTTATTTGTAAAATGATTAGAAATTGAGCATGGGGCAATCCCCTCTTTTGGAATTCTATGACATAAGTGTAAGTTGCAACTTCCCCAAACATTTTTTCCTTAAAAAGATCCTTCTTCGGTTCTTCAATTTTAGCACGAAATATTCGCGCAACCTGATCAGGTCTTTTTTGTGATAGTCAATTAATTAGAGGAGCTCTTTAATTTCAGGCCAATTAGGGTTACACGTGATTGTCAAAAAGATATTGGGTTTACCAAAATGTTGAACAAGGGTCATAGCATCCATATATCTTTTCGCATATCCCGTGGCCCGCCTATAAATGTAGCTGGCAAAACAATGTGTTTGCCTACTTCTACACCATCTCGAACTCCAACATTAAAACTATCTACAAGCCTTTGATATGTTTCCAGTCTAGCTTCTCGTTGTTGTTGTCTAAAATAATCTAATCTTTGTGTCTCAATCTTTATATATATATATATCCACTATAAATTGTTGTGGTAGCCTACCAGTGTGTAGTAAGAAAGATTGATGATCACATTGTCTTATTTGAAACTTGAAGTACATTTCCTCCTTTCCGGCAACACTTCCTCCTTTCTCAACGTTTTTTTAAGTTCCCCATGTCCTTAAATCTTAACCATTTAAGATAGTAAATAAAGAATGTTGTAAAGAAAAATTTGTAGCAAACTGCATATGATAATCACAATAGGCAACCCAATAGTTTTAATTACTTGAGTCAGGCACATTATCAAACACATTCCATGCGCAAGTGTGATTTTTATTTGAAGTTTTAATTGCATCCAGGTTAATATGAGAGTCTCCAGTTTTACCAGTGATGTATGCATAATGATACACAAACAAAGAACAGGAGAACAAACACAAGAAAAGAATAAATTACAAATAGAAAACAAGAGAACAAACACAAGAAAAGAATAAATTGCACCGAATAAACTACAAAACTCAGAGGAGAGCAGCAAACTCACCTGCAAAACTCTTGGCCAGATGCGTGAAAAAGATGCAAAACCCAGCGGTAATCCCGTTTATAGGCGCAGGGGAGGAAGAGTCTAAAATATTCCAAAACCGAAATTTTATTGAGCAATATTTTCATTTTGATGCTCCAACTTATGGAACGGAGGCCGGAAAACATGTCCCTCTGGCTTCCCAAACGTAGTGTCAATGAAGAGAAGCAATTCATACTAACCTAACGATTTCTCAAGAGTTAAC